AGGCAGGAGACTTGCTTGAGCCCAGGAGTTGGAGGTTGCTGTGAGCTGTGATGCCACAGCACTCTACCCAGGGTGACAGCTTGAGGCTCTGTCTCAAACAAAACAAAACAAAACAAAATAGCAGCTGGACACAATAGCTCATGCCTATAACCCTAACACTTTGGGAGACTGATTCCTTAAACCCAGGAGTTAGGGACCATCCTGAGCAACATAGTAGAATCCCTATCTTTCTAAAAAATTTAGGCCGGGCGTGGTCACTCATGCCTGTAATGCCAGCACTTGGGAGGCCGAGGTGGGTAGACTGCCTGAGCTCACCGGCTCTAGACTAGCCTGAGCCAGAGTGAGACCTCATCTCTAAAAATGGCTGGGCGTTGAGGCAGGCACCTGTAGTCCCAGTTACTTGGGAGGCTCAGGCAAGATAATCACTTAAGCCCAAGAATTTGAGGTTGCTGTATGACACCATGGCACTCTACCAAGGGGGACAAAGTGAGAATCTGTCTCAAAAAAAAAATTAGCTATACCAAGTAATTTGACAATCACTTGAGCCCAGGATTTAGAAGTTACAGTGAACTATGATCACACCACTGCACTCCAATGTCTGTGACAGAGCAAGACTGTAAAACAATCTAAAAAAAAAAATACAAAAATCAAAATCGCATAAAAAAGTCTATTATTGAGAGCTCTTATTTCCATTCTTGTCCCTGTCTACCTTATCCCCACATAGATGGATAACTACTTTTATTAGTTTGTTATCTTTCCAGTGCTTATTTAGGTAGATATATTTTTGTGTGTGCATACAAGAGTGCATGTGTGTGTATATATATATATGACTGTATTAAGGCTGGGCCTGGTGGCTCATACCTGTTATCCTTATGCTCTGGGAGGCTGAGGTGAAGGATCCCTTGAGCTCAGGAATTCGATACCAGCCTGAGCGAGGGCGAGACCCTATTTCTAGTCAAATTAGAAAAAATTAGCCAGGGTCTTGGTGAGAACCTCTGAGAGCTGAGACAGGATTGCTTAAACCTAGGAATTTAAGGTTGCTGCAAGCCATGACCCTATGGCATTCTACCCAGGGGAACAGAGTTAAACTCTGTGTAAAACAATATCTATCTAGGCTTGGTGCCCATAGCTGGGCACATACACCAAGGCTGGTGGGTTCAAACCTGGCCTGGGCCTGCTGCTAAACAATGACACTGCAACAGAAAAATAGCTGAGCTATTTTTGCATTGTGGCAGGTGCTTGTAATCCCAGCTACTAAGGAGGCTGAGGCAAGAGACTCGCTTAAGTCCAAGAGCTGGAGGTTGCTGTAAGCTGTGATGCCACAGTAAAGTCTATAGCTTTATAGATCAGCAGTTCTCAACCTGTGGGTTGCGACCCACAGGAACTGTATTAAAGGTCCGCGGCATTAGGAAGCTTGAGAACCACTGATATAGATATATATGAATATATCTATGTTTTGGGGGAGCTGCTTTTCTTTCTTACACAAGCAGCAGCACATTGTGCATACTTCTGCAGGGGAAGCAATTTAAATAGGTTGGTCATGAAAGAAGTGACACTAGAGCCAAGACATGAATAAGGGGCTGGCTCAGTGAGTAGGGCACAGGCCCATATACCAAGGGTGTTGGGTTCGAACCTGGCCCTGGCCAAACTGCAACAACAACAAAAAGAAAATAGCTGGGCCCATAGTCCCAGCTGCTCAGGGGGCTGAGGCAAGAGAATTGCCTAGGCCCAAGAGCTGGAGGTTGCTGTGAGCTGTGATGCCACAGCACTCTACTAGAGGCAACAAAGTGAGACTGTCTTTAAAAAAAAAAGATCTAGGCTCGGCGCCTATAGCTCAA